CCTATTTTCTGAAACCCCCACTTGGCTTCGGAACACAAGGAAGCACTTCTACCCCGACCTCATGCACCACGACAAAGAGCAACACGCTCCTTGTGATTATTTCAAGTAGAAGAAGGCCTTGTTTTCCTTGCTTCACCGCATACTACATGTCTACTTGTATATATGTGCACACATACATACCCCTGCACACATACACACACATATACACCTGCGTACCTAAATAAGGAAGATATAAAGTACACAAGGATTGAAGATCCGCTTCTGATGTCTTTCGCTCATCAACTGCGAAGGTCGGAGCGTTAACACCATGTTCTTTCCTGCTTGCGTCGATCGTTCCCTGGTACAGCGCCGGGAATTACATCTCGACAGGTAATATCACAATCCCCACATGGAACTGAAAACAAAGGCCTGGAGTGCCTGTGACCTTCAAACCGCAACTGAACCNNAGTAAGTTACAGTATCCCAAGAGTCCACCTGCCCATTGATCTACACATGACGTTCTTCTGTTTCCACTTGTTACGAGCAGCTCCTGAACTCCCCACTGCTGTGCTGGGCTCCGTGCCGGCCCGGCCGATGGTGAATCGCGGTCCCGTGCGCGCCACCGGGTGCTTGGCCCAACCTCATCGGAACGGCGCCAATCAAGTGGAGGTTCAATCGTAGGGCTCCGGGCTTAGGATGGAAAGCTGACCACTCACACTGACGGGCTTCGGGAGTTCGTAGTTCCTGGCTTGTCACAAAGCATGAATTATGATCTCCTCCCAACTGCCAAAGCACTCACGCAAACCCCTCCCCGCCGGGTTTGGGAGGCACCAAATCCTTCGAAGCATCGGACACTGTCGGGGTGAATCCCAGGATTCGGGACGCTCCGAGGCCCGTAGCTTGTACGTGCCTGAATCCACCCCAATTTACGTCCCGTACCCTTTTGTACCACTGCCCACCACACGAATCGGCAACACGGAAGCCATGGATTCACATACTCGGCTTTGACGCGAAGCAGCTAGGTTCAGTTTCAGCACGGCTCGGGGCCCCTCAGTGCTCATGTCGCTGCAGTTGCGCAGCAAGGAAAGGCGTGCAATCGCAGGCTTGAACGAGGCCTCAAACTTGTAGGCATCGGCGGGTTCAGGCCAACAGCCCCTAGCACCTCTGATCACCGGACCTCGTGCAAAGGCGTCGGGATCGGTGAGTGGAGTCAGTGTGATCTTCCGGGCACCGGTTCGCCTCAGCCGCCATGTTTAGGGAAGTTAGAGGCTCTTCACTTCTCCGGAAATGGACCACAACGCGGCTCTCCGAACGCTTAGGCTAGAAGCATTCGGGGTGTGTAAGGTGCCAGCCCAGGCAGCCCAGATCCCGACATGCCTGCTGGCAGGATCAAGGCTCGAAGTGTTATGAGGTTTTCGTGGAGCCTTGAAGATTAGTATGCGAAGCTGGGATGCCGTGTATGTGGAATCCCATCACACATACCAGCTAAAGCCCCGATGCGAAGCAGCACTTTGTCATGGCCGGTTCGGTGAAAGCAGCGATCGATCTATTCGTCTGCTTATTCATATGCATGTATGCGCGTATGTCTGCATGTCT